GGGGGGGGGGGGGACATGGAGAAGAAAAAGTAGAAATAGAAGATTGCAGCAGAGTACAGAAAAGACTGCAGTATGGAAGGTGTGGTGGCAGGAAGTTGAATTCCAACATCTCTCCCTACTTATTAAGCAACTTACATAGTGAGAATATGCTGAACCTGTTGCCAATCACAATGAAGTTTTAGTTTGCACAATTCAAGATCAAGAAACTGATCTTTACATGAAAACTAAACAGCTAAACCCTGCAGGAAAGAAGGTACTTTCTAGAATTCTCCACTCATCACTTTTCAACCTTAAAAGTTCAAATACTTTGACATACATGTATAAACATTCCTACAGTCTTTATCCTAGCTCACTGTTTCCCACACTTGAGTGTACAATAAATTATTGTACAGGGCTGTATGCCCCAAACTATGTATTTTCATTAGGTCCGTGAATGGGCCACTTTAAGGAATTTTTGAAAGGTAACTTTGACTTTGGGATTTCCTCCATTTCACATACAAGAAAAGTGTGGCTTAAGGAGATTTATAAAGAAAGTTAAGAAAGAAGAGTAGTTAATATGTAATTTTTAAATATCTATTTATTGAACATTTAATTTGAGCTCCACCAGCATTGTAAGACTAGAAAAAAGGCATATGAAAGGCTCTGCCTTTGAGGAGCTTGCACAAATGCATGAAAGACAGGATCCATGGGGAAAATAAAAATTCAATTGAAAAGAAAAGGTGGATACACATTATGAAAAGGTTCGCTTGCCAGGTTGAGATCTGAAAGTTTGAGTGCTGTTTTTTTAGTGGCAAATTTCAATTTATACCCATACCACACCATCTTATAAAGCACTTTGAATCATACTTTTATACTTGGATCATACTTTTTATAAAGCACACTTGGATCATACTACTGCAATAGCCCCAATTTTCTCACAATAATTATTTCTGTTCTCTTGCTGCATCATGTCTAGTTTCAAGTGATTTTAAATCCTTCTCCAAACAAGCAAGGTAGAAATATACACACAGGGTATTTGTGATGTAAGGGGGAAACCATATTATCTATGATGATATGACTGGTTTTGAAGAGGGAAATTAAGTTCTTTAATAAAACTCCTAATGGGACATAGTTCAATTTTATGTCAAAATGATATCACTATAATAAAATAATTCTCTAAAAAAGACAAGCATTCCAGGTGAATGCACCACAATTAGAAATTGGTGTGCCCTGTGGTATGTAATGAACACTAGACTGGAAGTTAGGAGAACTCAGTCTCATTCAGCCCAGTCACTAACTAACTAGCTATGTAACTGTGGGTAAGTCACCTGTGAAAAGATGGGGTTGAACTATATAATTACCAAGGATCCTTATACTTGGTGATTCTATAATTTACTGCAATACTGGTGAAAATGATTAGTATCTGTGCTGTACACTATAATAGCAAGTAGACACCTGGCTATTGAGCCTGTAATGTGTGGTTAGTCTAAGTGAAGAACTGAATTTTTAATTTTATTTCATTTTTATTGATTGAGATGTAAATAGCCACATATGAGCAGTAACAATCACCGTGAATAGTGCAGAAAGATCTACATAATCTTTATAAAATATACAATTTATAACAAAAATATAAGTTTGGAGGTGGACAATTTTTAGAAAGCAAAATTAACATATACTCGGGAAAAGGCAGATTAGAAGTTAGTCACCTTAAATGAGAGGAAAAATTTAGAGCTGTTTGGGTGATGTGTCTTATTTTATATCTCTGCCTAGCGTGCTCACTTAAAACACAACTTTCCTTTCATCTTTCTCCCATGCACAGCAAGCACTTACACAGTTTTAAGTACAGCACAGACGAGAGATAGGGATGGATGGCCCAGGGCACTTTGGGCTAATATCAATGTCTCCTGGGAGGTTGGGGGCTCTAAGGCCTTGTCTTTATCCACAGGCAGAACAAACTCCCCCTACTCAAGGGGCCCATTCTTTAATCAGAAACAACCACAGCAAAGAAGAGTGAAACAAGTGGCGCATTGTTTACAGAGAATCTAAGTAGATAAGAGTTCCATGGTACCCTGGGATGTGGGTGTGTATTCTTGTCTTCCTCATTTTTTAAAAATTTTAGAAATGACTGCTATACTGGGGTTAATTTCTTGTTTCCATTCTGCTGCAAAATAAATATTTTTAAAAATCTACCTTAAAACAAGGCTTGCACAGAGAAAAAGAAAGGGAAAATATAAGATATATAGAATTTTTTTCCTTCCTTTACTCCTGAATGTGAGCCTTGAGTGTACTATAAAAGGGACTCTTATTTAAATGCAGTGAATGAAAACTTTTTAAAATCCCCAAACTTGTCTTTAATACAACAAGCAAATAAGCCATGCTTTATAGTTTAAAAAAACTGTACTTTAAAAATCCCTCGAGAGCAAGAATGTTAAAATTTTTGTGATTGCATCCGACAGTGACAAATATAATTTCTAGCACAGAGTAGGTACTCAATATTTCTCAGATAAATAAGTGAGCTTTACCATTCAATTCAATAAATATTTATAAATTACTGCTATGTATTTTATTGTTTAATTTTTTAAAAACCCTCAAAGAAAAATGATTTCTCCTTTAGTATACCCTGAAATGCACTTACCTAGAGAACCTTTGCTGGATGCAGTCAAAGCTGCCCTGAGGGTTGTCTTTACCCACATTTGACAAATAGAAGTTAAACGTATGCACTTCATTGACAGGATCATTTCTGGGAATTTTGACAAGCTACAAGGATGGAAAAAGAGAAAAACACCTTAAATTATAAATTTTCCATAAAATGATCTGACAGCTGACTTACTGTCTTTCAAGTAACATTCATTTTATATTCAAGCCCTGCTGTGCATTTAAATTTATAGCATTTAAATTACCAAATCATCCAAGGAATCTGGAAAGCATGTCTATCACCACATTCTCATGTCCACTTTTTACCCTAAAGTGCCAGTAATCACTTCAACTCAGTAATTAGTTTATGAGAGGAACCCTCTTAATTGCAAATGAGCAAATCATTACAGTTCACATGAAAGAGTTACTGAACTGGCCAAAAAGTTTGTCCAGCTACACAGGTTCTGTCTGACTGACATAACTCCTTGCTTAATAGCTTCTAGATATTTAAATGCTCTCTAAGATAGCCCTGGCCGGTGTGGCTCAGTTGGTTGAGTGTCATCCCATGCACTGAAAGGTCACTGGTTTGATTCCCAGTCAGGGCACAAGCTCAGGTTTTGGGTTCAGTGCCCGGTTGGGATGTGTATGGGAAGCAACCGATCAATTCCCCCTCCCTTCCTCTCCCACTAAAATCAATTTTAAAAAACATTTAAATATTCTCTAAGATGGAGTCCATATCCCAATCTTTTGCTCTCTTATTACATACACATTTAATTTAAATCTTGCTACTTTGACTAGTATTTTTCAAGAATAACTAGCAGCATAAGGTGAATGCTATAATTACATTCACACCAGAATGAACTCCTCATTCATTCTTTTGCTTATAGAACAGGGTCAGCGGCCTACAGAGATTGATTTTGCAAGGCACTCCAAGGCTGAGCCCCAGGCAACACTGTGAAACAGGCATATGTTTTCCATGCTCTTGCTCAAAGTCTGGTTTCTCTACTAGATGACTGAAGGGATAGTGCTGCTCTAGATGACTGAGCCCCTGCACTGGCACATATTCCTGGCACATGGTAGAAGCTCAATAAACATCTGTGAACAAATGAACTGGAACATTCTTACTGTCTTTCAACTGCTCCACCCTTTCCAGCTCCTGAGACCTTTTTTCCCTTGGGTCTGCAGAGGCCACCATGGTGATAATTACAAAAATGATTCATTGGCACTAATGTAAAATATGACATCCTGCTCTCCAGCCCCCAAATACACACACAAACACTCATAAATGTTCTAGTAAGCTTAAGTATGTATTATGACCTCTGGTTGGCCCTCCAAAACACCCTGCAACTCTGACTTGCTCACTCTAAGACTCCTAAACCTTTGACTTACAGGAAAGTATTTGAAGTCACAATTCCAACCCACACCCTATCCCTAGAAAAGTAAAGAAAGGTAAGAAGAGAGACAATTTGCGGTATATGGCACATAGTAGACATGCAATAAATGTTAAAAGAATGAACAAGGATAAAAAGTAAGTCAAAGAAAAATATCTTTACAAAGGAGATTCAGAAGAATCATGCAAAGCTTGAAAGACTAAATTTCACCAAAGATGCTAAATATTAGACAATACTCCACAAAGCCTCCATCATCCATGAATTTAAACTACCTCTCTCTATTTCAAATTAGTTCTCATTCCTAGAGTAACAAACTTCTACATTTATTATCTACTCTATATCTACTTTATATCTTTTTTGGGCCCTAAAGTTACTCTTGTTTCCCCAAATTTCCCCTAGTTCTAAAATGCTGGAACTTTGTGAACAAGTTTTAATTTATTCTGCCTCTTAATATATATACATCAGGACAGTCCCCACAACAATCACTCAGTCTAAAATGTCAGTGGGGCTGGGGTTGAGAAACTATAGATTAGAAATAGAAGTAGGTCAGTTCCTTAGAAGAGAAGTCAGAGAATTCTAACTTCAGTGACTTCTGAAAATTAATACAGAGCGGAGGGAAAAATGATATATTCAAAGAAATAAAGGTACCTATTTTATTTCAAACAAAAAGGAGTCACTTTAACTTATACAAAACACTTATTCCAGTTTTATAACTTCCAATCACAAGACACTTAAAAATAAATAAGTGTACATGAGCCATATTTACAGTATATTTAGCCATTGAGAGAAGGTGAATATCAAGTACCTACTGCCAGTTAACTTCTGCAACCTCTCCTACATGTCACAAAGCCAACAAATAAACCAATGGCTTAACAGGAGTTATAAAAAAGTAATTCTTTAGCAATCTCTACTTTAGATTTTGTTTAAAATTGAGAAATAAAAAGGAGGTCTTGAAGAGATACTAATTTACTATGAACAAATTCTCAAACTGAGAAAGAATCACTTCAGGATAAAGAAAGCAAATCTTTGCAGTGACAGTCTCTGAGAATTCTGTTCCCCTAGTAACAGAGTAGAAAGAACTAGAGTAGTTTTCAACTTAAAAAACAACAACAGAGTAACACTAACCTGGAGAGTCCTTGTGATCCCTACCATTCCTCCTCATTCTCACATATGCTACATATGTTAATAAAGTTCTCAGGCTGCTAACTACCAGTGACAAGCAATCTTTGTCCCCAGTTCTGTGGAAGAAAGGCAGTATGGTGGAGAATGACAACAGGACTTAGCAACAATTTTTCCTACCCAATGTTCACTACGTGGGCACGTGTATGTGAGCAATGTGTGGATGGAGCCAGGGGAAGGCATCAGGGTAAATCACTTTCATTTTGACACCCAAGGGTAAATCTGATTGCATATCACAATATTTTTTCCAGCTTCGGAGGTGGGGTGGGTGTTGGTGGTTAAGGAATGATGAGGGAACATGGTGTTCTGAGTTTCTACATCACTGTTCCTCAGTGGTTTTTAGAGCAGCAGCAATGCAGATGGTACAGACTGACCTAATCTCAGGCATTTCCTAGAAAAGATCGGAGTAAGATGTCACCAAGCAATCTTTATATCTTTAAAATTTCAAAAACTTAAATTTCATGGCCTGTAGATGTTGTCTATCTAATTTTCTGAAGATGGTACAAATTAGACACAAATTTTATTTGTAAAAATATCTAAATGTACTCTTATAAATAAAATGGATGTGCAAAGGAGCACTAATGTTTATAGCTGGTAAGTCTGCATAACAGTTTGGCCTCATGGGCAGTAAAGCAGGAGACTCAGTTAGTGGAAAGAGCAGGTTGTGCATGACAATTCAGGCAGGTAGAGGTGGGGTTGGGTGGGGGAATGGAGGCTTCAGAACTAAACCAAGGGGACTTCAGAGTGAACCAGAGCCTGTTGGTCCACTCTGTGGAACTGCTGAAGGCCACAGCTAAGGTGGCATCTGAGACCTTGTCTAATCAAGGGTGATTATTTCAGAGACTAGACGAGAGAGTAACTTGCAAATACTCATCTCTCTGACATATAGGAGCCTATTCCACAGCTTGTCTAGATAGTGAAATAAAAGCCAGTCTTTTCTTCCAGAATAACCACAAGGCACTTTCTTATAAACTGGACTTTGAATTTACGGAATATGAAAGGGAGATGAAAATAAAATTACCGTTATTGGTGGATCAGCTTCTGGGGACTGGGCTAGCCACCATGGGAAAAGAAATCCTGAGGTCTAATTTAGAAGAAATCTTGGAAGAGTATTCCTTCATGTGATAGGAACTTCTAAATTTTAATTATAGTATTTTAAGCTTTTACTATAGGTCAGTGGGAACACCTTTACATTTAGGGACTCATGGTCTGCTTGAAATTTTTAGCTAAATGCCTTAAGAATGAAATATTTAAAAAGTATCAAACACTATGATTCCAAACAGCTTATTCAAGATGAAGAATATAAAAAGATACCACCATGTTCTAGGCAACTGGAAAAGTAGATTTTAAATTTCATTCCAAAAATGAAAGATTGAAAATAAAAGATTTAGGATCACAATCTACAACCCTCCTCCCAAACTCTAGTCTGTCTTCAATAAAAAGCTATGAAGAAAAAGTTTCAGGAAACTTCCAGACATTTATAATTAACATAAACACTGTATACCAAGATTTGTAAGTCAAAGCTTCTAATTATTCTGAGATACAAGCTCAATCATGTGGCAATGGAATACTGTCTGAAAGGTCATTTCAACATCAAGTCACGGCTCTCCTATTTACATAAGGATGTAGGGCAGAAATGCAATGAGCACATTGCTGTAAATTTCTCATACAGGTGTGCTAACATCTGCTTAAAAGCCACTGGTACCTTTACTGCAGAGGTTTCCTACTCTTAAGTCAAACACTTTCTACTCAATATTAGATTGAGGTAACACACTAGATTAAAAATAAGACCATCAGGTTTTTCTTTAACATTTATTTAAAATAAATGCTTTATTCTTTTGTGGTATTACAAATGATTTAAACTTACAGAAGCTTTTCTTGGACAGTAATTCTAAGAGTTTTAATATCCAACCTTTTCTGCTGCAGTGACTGTAAGCATGCAATGAGATGCTCATGACCCAGTAGTACCACAGCTTGATATAATAATGCTTGGTCTTTAAAAGCAGACCCATGGTGCTGACAGGGCCTTTGAGATTATCTATTTGAATTTCTTCATTTTATAGAAAAGAATCAGAGAGAGGCTCAGTGACTTGCTCAAGGTTATGAGTCTATTTTAAATGTTTATTGTCTTTCTCCCAACTATAATATAATCCTTGGAAAGATGGAGGCTTTTGTCTGGTTTGTTACCTGTATATATCACCAGCATCTTGAGCAATGTGTGGCACAAAGTAGTCACTCCGTACACACTTGTTAAATGAATGAAAATGTTGATTAATGCCTGAGCCAGTACTAGAACAACTGAAGTGTCTGCTTTTTTTCCACCAATATTTCCAAAGCATGTTGAAAAGTTTTCTTATACGAAAAAGGGGTTCTATCTTCAAATAAGTTTGGGAAATAGCTGGTTAAACTAAACAACTTTCTTTGCTCTACATCCTTTCATACTAAATTGTAGTTTCCCAATTTGTATGACCTCAGAACCCACCTCTCCTCTGGTACCTCAGGAGCCAGCATGGCTCTTAGTAATATTTGACTACTATATCTATTATTTTACTA